CAATGGTGCTGTTGTCTACAGCCCTCCCCCACCCCTTCATCCTTCTCTGGAACCTCATTCCCTGTCTCTTTCTTTAGTTTGTCCCAAACGCTGCCCAACTAGACGCCACCCCCCTCCCCACACTGCGGTGGCACTTCTCCCGAGGTCATGTCTACTCTTCCAATTCCCGGACACTCCCCACCCGCTCTGGGATCTCTGTCTTGCTCGCCTTCATTCTGGACCTGGGCCCCTGCCTCTCCTCCAGCCCCGCGCCCCTGGGGAGCAGGTGTCTGGGTCCCTGTGCAATAGGTTCATTAGATTGAGCTGGAGGTGGGGAGGGGACATGGCTGCTATGAAGGCAGTCGGAGAAATGGGGCTGCGGAGGACCCCGAGGGTCACGGACTTCAACCCTCACCCCATTACAGATGGGAAACAGGCTGAGGGAGCCTCACTGCTGGAGGCAGAAGCCTGGCAGGTGGAAAAAGGAAAGGAAGAAATGAAAGAGAGAAGGTGGATGGAGGGGGTAGAAGTGACCCCCTTGTCCCTTCATATCTGCCAGGGTTCCCATGCCCTCACATCCCCTGCTGGGCGGGGTGCTGGAGTGGGGAGCGGTGGGTAGGCTCGGCCATGCTTCCTGTTGGCATGGGCTTCAGCTGCCCCACCCCCCTCAGTGCCCGCTGCTCTCTTCTTGGCCTCCTGGCCGGAGGAAACCAGTCTGCCCTAACCTTCCATGGGGCTCCTGGTCACTACAGAGCTGCCTGCCTCCCTCACCCCCAAATCCCAAGCTTGAGCCTCCATCCCCCAAGATTCCTCCTCAAATCAGTGCCCCCCCGGACCAGCCCGATTCCACATCCCTTAAGCCAGACTGGTCTCCAACCCCTCCTTTCCTGTTGAGCAATTCTGTTCTGTCCTCAAGCCACTAATTCCGACCCGTGTCCTCCCTGTGCCCCATCGCTGCCCCGCTGACCACGGCTGGAATGTGCCGGGAGCCTGCTCAGGCTTGTCGGGGCCCCACCTGTCCTTTCCCTTTCCATTCACTATCCTCAGTCAGATCCTTCCCCAAAAGATGCTCTAGACCTCCTCCTTCAGACCGGGAGGCCAGACCCTCCGACCCTCCTCCCCTGGGACCCAGGAGGCCAGGCTACTATACACCTACTTCTCCATTAGTTCCCAGATTAAACAGCATATAGATTCTGAGGAAGTTGGGCTTCTTAATGATATAGAAGGGTCAGGGTGTGTGTGTGTGTGTGTGTGTGTGTGTGTGTGTGTGTGTGTGTGTGACCATTTCCCACCCCCACCCCAGCCAGTTTCTTCTGGTCTCTACCCTGAGTGCTGAGGTTCTGGGTAAACGTTCGGGTTTAGATAAGGACCAAGGAGCCACCCGCCTATTGGGAGAAGCTAGTTTCTCTCCTCACCCTCCCTTCACCAAACCAAGGGTTACCGCTCCCCTAATCTGCTCAGCCCCTTCCCCCTGACTCCAGGGGGTCCTGGACCTCCAGCTGTCTAATTGCAATACCTTCAAAGACTGAGACCCCTTGTCCCTTCATTATGCAGAGAGGACCCCCAGTCGTTGCCTCCCTGGATCCCAAACTCCAGCCCCCAGTCCCCTCTGCCCTCAGACCAGGAGTCTCAGCCCCCAGCCCCCTCCTCCCTCAGACCCAGGGGTCCAGGGCCCCAGCCCCTCCTCCCTCAGACCCAGCAGTCCAGGCCCCCAGCCCCTCCTCCCTCAGACCCAGGGGTCCAGGCCCCCAGCCCCTCCTCCCTCAGACCCAGGGGTCCAGGCCCCCAGTCCCTCCTCCCTCAGACCCAGGAGTCCAGGCCCCCAGCCCCTCCTTTCTCAGACCCAGAGTCCAGGCTCCAGCCCCTCCTCCCTCTGACTCAGAGTCCAGGCCCCCCAACCCCTCCTCCCTCAGACAAAAGTCCAGGCCCCCAGCCCCTCCTCCCTCTGACCCCTCTGACCCAGGAGTCCCAGCCCCCAGGCCCCTCCTCCCTCTGACCAGGGAGTCTCAGCCCCCAGCCTCCAGTGGCCCAGAATGAGTTTCACTCACCGTGCACCCTCCGAACCACAGCATCTCCGCGTGTAGCACCATGAGCCCGATGCCAATTCCCGCCAGAGTCAGTGCCCAGCAGGCCAGCCACTTCTCCTGCTCCAGCAGGCGCTTTCGCCGCCGAAGGGCTCCCAGGCCAGGCACCAGCTCCCCGCCCATGGCCCCCTGGGTCTTGGGACTCAGCCAGCTTCCTGCCCAGGGTCCCCCACCTCGCAGCACACAAAGGGCAGCCACTGTGGCTTGCAGGTCCTCAGCCTGCTCCGCTCAGTTGCTCTGGGGCTCTCGCTTTGAGGCACAGGGAGCCGGTGCCCTCTGGGGGTGGTGTCTGCTGGGCAGGGCAGGGAGGGGCCGGGAGGCCCTTGGGCAGAGGGGAGGCTCCCCAACCCCGCTTCTCAGTCTAAGGAGGGGCTGGAGTGTGTCTTGGGGCAGAGCAAGGAAGAATCGTGCATCCTCGTGGATAAAGACACACTGACACAATGGTCACACACAACGGCCTGCACTGTGTAACACACACCTACATCTAGCCACGCCCAGGCCCCATGTGACACCAGCACACCCAGCGTGGTCAGAGACAGAACCGAACACACATGGCCACACAACACAACCTACACCAAGTGACTCACAACTCCCAACAAGTTCTGAAACCCACAGCCACACCCAGACACCACATCCATGGTGTGACACACTCCTGCACTCAGCGAAGAAGCAGACAGCGCCCGTGGCACACACAGCCACCCAAATATCGTCTACACACGGGCACAGACATTGCGATCAAAATGGGCACAACATTGCCTGACACTCCCAGCCACACCCAGACACCACATACTGGATGCACATACATAAGCTACACAAGCACAACATATAGCAAGTGTTCCGCAAACACACAGATTGTGTTGACATAGCGGTGCCCAAACGCCGCACACACATATATCGGTGTTAACAGTGCACTCTCAGTGTCCCACGCATTACATACCTGGGGAATGATATCCAACACGTGCAGACACACAACACTTAGGGACACCCCACGGCAGTCCCCATCAGCCAGCACATGGAAAACTGCACACGGACACACGTCATGCACATGGCGACTGACACGGATGCTCAGAGGCTGGCTCACAGCACACACAGTGTGCCCCGTACATGTGCCATTCTAGTGTGTAATCGGAGAGCAGTGTGAATGGACGCAGGCAGAGCCCTGCACTGTACAGCGATACACAGAATCCCTAACAGCACGGGCCCAAAGGAAGACATCACAGAGGACACAGCCCAGAATGGTGCCCCTGGGAAGGGGGCACAGGCTCCATGCACCCCAGGACCCAAATGCAATGTGTACAGAGGAAAACATGCGCCACCGCCTCTGACGGAGAAGCCACATTCAGGCACCGTGTACGGCAGCCACACATGGCCCTGCCCTCCATATACTGCACCACGCACGACCACGCAGATGCAGCACACACAGGGAAATGCGCAAAGACACAGCAACACGAACCACATCCACACCGCACTGCCCCGCACCGCCTTTGACAAACACCACGTGTCACATGACTCAGCAGATGGGACCCACGGACACAGCTGATAGGCCTGCAACAACCCCACACAGAACACCAGAGGACACCCTGCGGCACAATGCAATACACAACCTCACAAACACAGCACACTCTGAGTGTGGGCACCCGGGCCGATACCGGCAGGGAAAGGAGAGGCCCCCACCAAGGACAGGCACCTCCACATAATACAAACGGTCACCTCACTGAATGACCCACAGCTTTACACATACAGCGCCCAGAGAGACACACACCACACACGGACACACAGAACAGCACACACAGTGCAGGGTCTGACCACATCTGGGAGGCACAGATCCAAAGCCTCCTACAGCAACACACGGGGACACCCTGGCACGGTGACACACTCACCTCGCACAGCATCACACACTGATCTCCCGACACACCGGTGGCCCCAGGGACACCACGCTTGGGGGAACACAGAGCCATAACCCCTCTCCTCTTTCGTGTCCTAGGTCATGCGGAAACCTGGGCCCGCCAGCCACAGGGAAATGAGACATGCACAGACGTGCCTGGCAACACACTAACACAACCCACACAGACACACCCGGAGACACCAAACCACACACACAGACACTCCCAGTGACAAAAACACAACCCGTGCCGGGGCCCTCCCCGTGGCACACATGGCTTTCACTGGGTGAGACACACCCGGGCACACTCAGACGCCACACACAGGTCTGCTCGGAGAAACCGCTGCCGCTGGGCACTCTTAGGGCTGAGCCTAAATGCCCCTGGCACCTGCCGCCCTTGGGCCTGGCACGGATCCCCGTGTGCCTCTCCCCTCCTGGTTCTCAGGGCCTCCCCTCCGACTCCTCTCTGAGTCTCTCCGGCTCTAGAAACCTCTGGGTTCATTTTTATTTCTGCCTCCTCTCTTTCTCAGTCTCTGTTTTTCTCTCCTTTTATGCCTTTGTCTCTTTCTACCTCTCTGTCTCTGCCTCCCTCAGCTCTGTGTCTCTGTGTGTCTCTTAGCATCTCTGCCTCTGTCTTCATTTTCGTGTCCCTCTCTGTTTTCCTTTATTCTTGCTCCCTGTCACTGTCCCTCTGCCTCCATGTCCCTCTCTGTGTTTATCGATGTCTGTGTCTCTGTGTTTGTCTGTTTCCATCTCTGTCTCCGCTCTTTTCTATCTCATTTTCTCTGTCTCTGTCTCTTGCTGACTCTAGGTCTCTCTCTCTGTCCATGTCCATATCTCTGTTTCTCTGCCGGCCTTTTCCAGTTCCACCCCACCCCACTCAGGGGCCAGGGGCCAGGAGCCAGAGACACAGAGACTGCCTGTGAGAGTCAGAGCCCCGGACAGAGACCTCCGGCACCAGCCCCTCCACAGCTGTGCCTCGGGGCAGGCACCGGGGAAACTGACACAGAGAGAGAGGCACCCAGAGTCCTTAGTGGTGCAGCCAGGTGTGTGTGTGTGTGTGTGTGTGTGTGTGTGTGTGTGTGTGAGAGAGAGAGAGAGAGAGGGAGAGAGAGAGGGAGATTGAGAAGGAGGAGGGGAGGAGAAGAGGGGGAGAGAGAATGAATTAAAAGCAAAGCAGAGATGGAGAGAGAAGAGACCCAGAGGTAAAGAGAAAGCAGAAACCAGAATCAAGATTTGAAGTTATTGCAGAGAGATTTTGACTTCAAAGAGACCACGACTGAGAGACAAAAGGAGCAAAGGCTGGACATGGGAGATGCCGGGTGGGCAGCAATGGGGACACAGTGGGAAGGGCACCTGCCTCCAAATCGAAGTTCCAGGCTGTGGGGGTCAGTGTGTAGGAAACAGGGCTTGAGCCGGCTCCCTCCAGTCCAGGGAGGGGCTGAGCTGGGTGGTGGGGGTGACTCAGGGCCCCAGAGCTTCCTGTGACTCAGCTTTGGTCTCAATCCTGGAGGGAGGTGGAGGGGAGGAGGGGTCTCTGTAAAAGAGAGGAAGTAAGGAGCACCAGAGGGCCTCTGTGCCTAGGCTGGCCCCTAGGAGGGGGCTGAGAGCTACTGCAGGGACTGAGGGGAGGAGCAGACTGGGGGTGTGGACTCTGGGGCCCAGACTCCTGAATCTGAGAGAGGAGGGGGCTGGGGGCCCAGACTCCTGGTTCAGAAGAACCAGAATAACTGATTCCAAAGTCCCTGGGACTTTTTGCTGGCCTCGTCCCAGCTGCCCCACCTTCCTCCCAGCCCCATCTCCGGGTCTGGAACAGACCCAGGTGCCTTGGGGCCCAGCCGGAAGGGGCTAAGGACAAAGGGTTGTTTAGCTGCTCAGGGAGTGAAGAAGAGGGTGTCTCAGGCGGAAAGGTCACTCGTCGCCCAGGGCTGGTGCAGGGAAAGGCGGGGCTGAGCCGGGGGTAAAACATCCTGAAAGTCAGGCCTGTGGCTGCAAATCCCCCAGGGCAGGCAGTCTTTTGGATTAAGGCAGTGGGTGGCTTTCAGGGCATCGAGCTACTGCCACCTAGTGGTGATCTTGGGAACTGCAGGAACTCTGCTTGTCTAGCTTAGTTTGGGGCTGGGGGCCCAGACTCCTGGTTCAGAAGAACCAGAATAACTGATTCCAAAGTCCCTGGGACTTTTTGCTGGCCTCGTCCCAGCTGCCCCACCTTCCTCCCAGCCCCATCTCCGGGTCTGGAACAGACCCAGGTGCCTTGGGGCCCAGCCGGAAGGGGCTAAGGACAAAGGGTTGTTTAACTGCTCAGGGAGTGAAGAAGAGGGTGTCTCAGGCGGAAAGGTCACTCGTCGCCCAGGGCCGGTGCAGGGAAAGGCGGGGCTGAGCCGGGGGTAAGACATCCTGAAAGTCAGGCCTGTGACTGCAAATCCTCCAGGGCAGGCAGTCTTTTGGATTAAGGCAGTGGGTGGCTTCAGGGCATCGAGCTACTGCCACCTAGTGGTGGTTTCCGGAACTGCAGGAACTCTGCTTGTCTAGCCTAGTTTCCTGTCAACATACATTGAGCACCTACTGAGGCAGGTACTGCTCTAAGCATGGTGGGTATAGTAACAATAAAACAGACAAAATCCCTGTCCTCACGGAGCTCCCGAGCTAAAGGAAGTCTGGTGGTTTTGTCAATCTCGCTCGCTCTCTTGCTCTGGCTTTCACTCTGGCTCTGTATTTGCTTCTTTTTCTCTGCATATCTCACTGGCCTTGCTTCTCAGTTTCTGCCTCTTGGTCCTTGTCTGCAATGGCTTGTCTTTTTCCTTCCTCCTTTTTTTCTTTCCCTCTGTTTTTTGTTTATTTTCTTCTTTGTATCTTTTTTTTTGTTAAATATATTTTATTGATTTTTTACAGAGAGGAAGGGAGAGGGATAGAGAGTTAGAAACATCGATGAAAGAGAAACATTGATCAGCTGCCTCCTGCACACCTCCTACTGGGGATGTGCCTGCAACCAAGTACATGCCATTGACTGGAATCGAACCTGAGACCTTTCA